GCTCGGCTCGCGCGGAGGCTCTCGGAAGGTCCGAGCGCCCTGGCGCTGCGGCGAGGCGGCTGCTCGTTGCCCCCCCGTGCGCTTTGCATGTCGTGTTGTTTTGCGTCTGTTTTCTCGGGGGGAGCACCCATCGGTCAGTGGACCCCCGGAGCCCAATATACATACTTCAGGCGATGTGCTTAATTTCAGTAGTCGAATGGTTTTCCCCTTCCCCCCTCTCCAGGGAGCTGGTGGGAACTTAATATTTTCTTCCTACCGATGGGTCGGCGATATGGCGCGCGGTATTCGCTTCGGAGAAACGCGAACATGGATTAAGGCGCGTGGGTTAGACACGGGGCTTGCGTCCATACAGAACAACGGCGCCTTCCGTCGCCCATCAGGCGGCAGTGGTTGCATGTCTTGTTTTGCAGGGGGTGTTCCCCCATCCGTGGATCTGGCGCCAACAGGCCGGAGCTATGCGCCCTGGTCTTTCCTCGTTTCAGTTTCTTGCATTACCCTCGGCGGGCGGTCGTTGTTTTCACGGTTGGACGCGGTTGGGAATGGGCCAGGACTGCGTTTGGGAGGCGTCCAGGGTCGAGTTTTCTCGCTTGGATACTGACGGCGGGTCCTTGACGTCTAGACGTCGCAGGAAGAATCGCGGCGAAAGTCTTTCCCCCGTTTCGAACCCCAGAGACCGCTGCGATCTGCCGGGCAAGATACGCAATCACGACGTGCGGATTCTCAATTCGACGTCGGCAGTAGGTGTGCTGTGAATATGGATGGTTCCCTGATTGGGCTTGCTTCAGGGATTTTTATTGTGAAGGCCTTACCGTCAATGCCGCCGACCCTGAAGGGGGAGCCCGCGGCGCCCGGGAGGCAAAGAGTCGAAAGGGAAAGCTTTTCCTTGGGTGTCACGGAAGTTGTGACCCCCACGAGGGGGTCACAATTTACGGGGCAACCCCCACACCCCGCCCCCAAGCCCCCCCCACCCCACCACCCCAGGCGGGGAAGGGATCAAAAGGCAGAGGTTTCCTTTCCACTCGATGGCGACGTTGCTCGACTTCTGGGCTGGGACGTTTGAAGAGGAAGGCCCACGGACAGGGACAGGGGGGAGCGGTGACGGTGACAACGACGACGACGACGACCATTCGAATGGGAAATCCCCTCACACACGACGACAGGGTCGGCGGATTTGAGTTGAAGAGCCTGTGGAGGCCAGGCCTGCGCCGGACAGATTTTTGTTGGGATAGTTTGTCTTCTTTCTTTACTGTTTTTGAAGGGGCTTCTCTCGGATTTGTTGGGCTTCTGTACTGATTGTTTTGAAGAGGCGTTCTTCCGGTTGCTAAGTCTTGTTATTGATTGTGTTTGAGGAGGTTTTCATCGGATTGCATAGTGTTGATTCCGTATTGCGTATGAAGAGGCAGTTCTTAGGTTGTTTGAGATTTGTTTTTGATTGCTTTCCTTGGGTTGTTAGGTCTTGTCTTCTACCCATGCCAAGCAACGCCGAGTAATGATAAGCCATGCCAGCCAACGTGAAGCAATGCCAAACAACACCCAGCAACGTCAAAAAGTGCCAAGTAGCAGCAAGCAATGATCAGCAATCGCAAGCAATGCGAAGCACGTCCAAGCAATGCAATTCAACGCAAGCAATACCAAGCAACCCCCAGCAACGCCAAATAACGATAAGCAACATCAAGCAACGGTAAACAGTGCCAAGCAACGGCAAACAAAGCTAAGCAACGCCACGGAATGCCAAGAAATGCCAAGCACGGTCAAACAACGCAAAGCAATTAAATGCCAATGAATGCCGATTCATGCCAAGCAATGTTGCTTAGGAAGCATTGATCGCGCCGCTTCCTTGTGTGTTTTCGGAGGAGTCCAGCTCTCTCTCTCTCTCTCTTTATCTCTTTTTGTTCTCTCTCTCCCTCTCTCTCTCTATATATATATATATATATGCACCGATCTTGGGCAGGCCTGTTCTGGGCTCAGGATCAGTGTACATTTGCGCCTTTCTGGCTTTGCCAGGAAGGCATGCACACCGATCCTGGGACAAGGATCGGTCGTTTTTGCCCCGGCATCGGCCCTTGGGGTCCTCAAATATTGATAAGGATCGAGGAATGCCGCAGAAATATGTCAGTGTGGTTCTCAACCAGACTGCGGTGTTGGGTCTTTATTTTGAATCAGCAGCGCGCCGCGTCCACTCCCTCCTTCCCCTCCTTCGTCCTCGTCCTCGTCTTCGTCGTCGTCATCATCGTCCTCGTCGTCAGCATCATCATCATCATCAGCATCATCATCATCATCATCATCATCATCATCATCATCATCATCATCATCATCATCATGCTGCCCGTGGCTATTTGTTGTTCACTTTCGGGCCGCACGTCCACTCTCAAGTCTTTCAGGTGTCTTGCAGCGGCATGCAAGACCTGGCCCACCACGCCGCCGACGTGCTGCGGTACGGGGCGCAGGCGATGGGGGCCTCGCTCGTTGCGCGGTCCGCGGCGCCCATCTGCGGTACCTTCGCGCCGCAGCTGTCCTGCCTTGCGCCGCCGCTGCTCACCTGTCCGTCCTGTGTCTGCGTTGGCGCTGGCGGGCAGCTGGCGGAGGGGACTCGTCACGGCCTACGCGGTGGCCGCACTGACCGTCGACCTGGTCGTTGGGGCTACTGGGGGGGCGCGTGGCTGGCTCGCCGTGGCGAAGCCCCCCCTGCCGTCGGGGCGTCGGTCCCCGCGGCGATCGAGAACGCCGCGGAGTTCGAGGAGCTCGCGGCGCAGCAAGCGCGGGACGCGCGGGCTCGGAGCCCGTCGCTGCGGTGATGGCGGGCATTTTCCACGTGGTGCGGTACCGCGTCGGGGGCCCGCCACTGATGCACAAGTGGCTCACCCTCGGCGAGCACGGGGGCTTGTCGTACATCGTCACCCCCGACCTCGACGACCACGACGAGCCGAATTTCCCTGGCCCTGACGTGCGCGCCGTCCTCCGCCTGACGGGGCAGGGCGCCACGCCCCAGGGGCTCGTCGGGGCGATGATCCACCGCTTCCGTCGCCTGCCGACCGCAGGCGACTTGTGGGCCGCGGTCAGCCGATCCGTGGCTGCGGGCTACCCGCCGCCGCCCAACCCGCTGCATCTGGCCCTCGCGGCTGGGAGTGTGGCGGGCCCCCCGCCTGGCCCCTTCCCTCTGGCGGACCCCGCGGTTGCGCCCGCAGGGGCCCTGCCGCCTGCCGCTGGCGTGGGAGGGGCGGCGCCGCCGGCCGCGCCTGGTGGTGTTTCGGCTGTGGTGCCAGGTGCGGCACCTGCTAAAACGCCGCCGTCGTTGCGGGCCCCGGGCTGCCAGCACTGGCCGCTGCGCTGGGCGGCGCACCGCCCGCTGCTGCTTGGGCGTCGCTCCCCGCGTGAGTGCCGCCGCCCTTTCCTGTGGTGCCCGGCGCGGCCGCTGCTGCCGCGGCTGCTGTCCTTGGGGTTCCTGTGGCGGCTGCGGCGGCCGCTGGCGGTGACTTCAGAATCTTCCCGATGCAGACCAACGATCGGGGGGAACGCGAGCGGAGGTTCGGCGAGACCGTCAACGCCCTCGCCGAGACGCTCTTGTGGCCCGTGGAAGGGCCGAGGACGTTGCTCTGGTGCTTCGCCTTCATGTTGACGATGGCAGGCACCCCTACGGCTTGGCATCAGGGGTGTCTCACGGCCATGGTGCTGCCCGATGATGACGAGTACGCTAAGCTTCACGAGAGTCTGTGCCGTGTCTTTGACCTAGCCGTGGTCTACGAGCAGCTGCAGGTCACCGAGATGGCCTCGTTCGAGCGGACCCCCTCCACGGCCGCGGAGGCCCCCAAGGCCAAGTCTGGCAGCAAAGGCGCATCGCCCGCGGCCAGCCGGTCCGCGCCCGGGACCAGCTGCTTCCTTGGCGCGGGCGCCTCGAAGGCCGACCTCTGCATTTCGCCGAAGCTGCTCGAGTACATCGCGGAGCACATGAACGCGGAGACCGCCGTCAGCAGGGGCGTCGCAAGCTGCGGGCGCCATGGCGCCTGTGGTGCCAGCCAGGAGCGCCGCCCCCTCGCTGCCCACCCAGTGCGACAGCGAGACATTTTTCCCTTCCGTCTTCCCGCGGGGCGAAGGTCGGGCGCGTCCGCGCGGGGCGGGTCGGCCCGCGGTCGGGCCGCCAAGGGTGCAGCCTGGCGGGAGTGGTTCAACGATGATGTGGACGCGCTCAACGATATGTACACTTGCGATCCGTATAGTATGGCCTATCCGCCTCCTGGTATCCCTCCGCGTGCTCGGCGTGACGCTGAAGAGTATCTCGCTCAAAAGTATCGCGATATTGGAGCCCCTCCTGGCCATTCTGAATGTCCCCGAAGATGCGAGGCAGCCCTGGCAGAGTTGCTCGCATCGGCGCCTGGGTGCCCAGGAGAGTCTCGGACAAGACCCTACAACGAGGAGCTCGCCTCTTTGTTGAAGCGCGTGGCGCCCGCCCCAACGGCCGACCTCGCTGCCGATGCTGATCGCCAGACGTTGCTATGGTGGGGGCGCCAAATGCTACGTGGCCCTGCCGATTGTTCCGCCCTCGGGAAGGAGTTGGGACTGGGGGCCCCGCGCGTTGGCCCTCGTCTCCGATCTCCTGCGCCTCGACCAGGTCGGCGCGACTGAGCGGGGGGTCGCCGAGCGTCGGGCGACCTACTCTACAGGTTCCTTCTATGTCGCGAAGTCCAACGGCGTCGCGCCTCGCCGTCTTCACGCGGGTGGCCAACTCGTCCTTCGCGACCCTTCCGCGAGATTGCCGGCGCCGTCGGCGCGGAGTGCGCCCGAGGCCAGCGGCGACATCTACGTCCCCCGGGGCGACATGCAGCGCGCGTTCTACCACGTGAAGCTATCGCTACATCCCCAACGATATTCCTGATTGCCCGCGGTCCCGAATCGGCGCGCAGGTTTCAAGCGGCTGCGCGGGGTGCCCGCCGGGGCGACCCCCTACCTGCAGCCGTTCGCCACCGTCATGCCGATGGGCTGGTCGTGGGCCCCCCACTTCTGCCAGTCGGCCCTCGCCTCGGCCATCCTCGCTTGACCCTGGCGTCGACGCGGGGTCCG